AAATTACGAGATCTGTGTTTTTTTTCTAGATCTGGTGTTTTTTTTTAGTAGAGTGATCTATATACAAAAGTAGAAATAATGATCGAAAATGGTCTTAAGCTCTCTTCAAGCTTGCTTTATATATTTAGCTCTCAACTTTAATTTTCATTCTCTCTACAAAAAATGTTGAACTTTTATGGTCATGGAGATGTATTACAAAAAATGTAATACCATTGTACTAAAAAATCATCCTAGGCAACTGCCTAGGCACTTGACGTTGCTCGACTGCCTCCAATTTGCATGAATCGACTGACTAAATCGTTCAGGCAACTAGGCGACGCCTAGGCAGGCCTTGGCGCTCCTAAGCGGGCTGGACGACAATTCTTCAATTTTTTTAAATACGAATTGCATTATTTTGTTATCATATTTTCTTTATAATATATTAATATTACTATTTAGACTTTTATGTGTGAATTTATTATAAGTTGAGATAGTTTTTTTTTGTAGGTAGTGAAAATAAATAAAAAAATAAGGTATTAATCTTAACTTTTTTGCCCCACGTAGGCGCTAGGTGTTGGTCGAGCGCCTAGCGACTTCTAGAACATTGTGTAATACCGAGAGAAAGGCAAGTTTTGTCAAATCAGGTACCATTTTTAGGCAATGATCATATCCTCAACGAGTATACTTTCGAGCAAAATAAACGAATCGTTGCAAGTTGTAGGACAACGCAGGAAACTATTTGTGATCGGAACGTTAGTACTAGTTAATGGAGAAAATTTCAGAAAAATTATAAAATTTTAATTAGCGATACTTGATCAGTAGTTTTATATTTAGTTCAAGATGTCTATGTAGTTTTATAATTAGTTCTAGACGTCTCTCAAATGGTTCTAGTTATAATCAAAGGAGGGGGTACCAAATTATGTAGAGCTTTTATTTAAGTCGAGTTGTCATCTACCACAACTCAGCTGAAGAATCAAAGTTGAAGGATCAAGTTCACTTCATTCATATACTTAAACAATCTTATTTATTAAGCATCTCGAGCGTATACACAAACAATTCAAATGTGATTTTGGGATCATAATTTTAGTTTTAAACTATATTAAACGATTCAACTTGAGATTATACTTGACTGTACCAAAAACTCATGGAGGATTGGGATTCCAGGATATCCAATTGTTTAATATAGCACTCATTGCAAAGCAGCTATGGAAGATAGTCACAGAGCCAGAGAGGTTGGTAAGTAAAGTGCTTTCAAGCAAATATTTTCCAAATTCTAACTTGTTTGAAGCTCAGAGGAAACAAAGTTCTTCCTGGCTATGGAACAATTGGTTATCTGTGCTTGAGGTTTGTGGGAATTGGATGCAAGTGCAGGTTAAGGATGAGAAGAGTGTCAGGGTGTTGGACCAGCATTGCATACCTAATTTCATTGGCAAACAAGTGGGTTTGAGGGCAGGGATGGATAGAAGGATTGTTTGGGTAAATGACTTATTATCAGAGGATGGCTGCAAATGAGATGAGGCTAAAGTGAGAGCTACCTTTGAATCAGCTTTCTGCAGCTTCATTCTAAGTATTGATACTTTGGACCCAACTCAAGCAGATGACTGGAGCTGGACAGTGAATAAGCAAGGTATGTTCTCAGTCCATTCTACTTATGCCCATTTGATCACTGAAAAAGTTCTGAAGCAAGGGAAAACTCAAGGCAGTGGAAGCTTCAGCAGAGATTCTAAGGTGAGGGGTAGAAGTTGGAAGTTAAAGGTTCTTGGCAAGATTAAACATTTTGTATGGAGATGCTCTACAGGTACATTAGCTGTCAATCAAAATCTTAGAGACAGAGGTGTTGATGTAGATCCCATTTGGAAGATGTGTGGAGAAAAGCAAGAAACTATAGTACATGCCCTGTTTCATTGCCCATTTGCTCAAACTGTGTGGAAACTTGCTCCAGTATGGTGGGTTGGTCCCAAAGGCTCAGAGACTTTTCAGGATTGGTAGTGGCAGGTGTGTCAACTAGATAAATCAGAGACTTCTGAAGCCCGTATCCAATTATCTACATATATTCATTGGTGGCTATGGAAGTTGAAAAATCTGTGGGTTTTTAAACAAGTCAAAAGGCCAGTTCAGACCATAGTAAGGATGGCAGTTCAGGATTGGCAAGCTTTCTTGAAGAATAGTAGGTGATTGGTCTTGTTGTTATTTTCTTTTCTTTTTTTCTTTCTCTTTCAATCTGTCATTGTAGTGATGTTTGTGTTTGAGGAGGTAAAAGTTCAGTAGATAGTTACTGCTTTATTTCCTAGTATTAGTCGGGGTTGTTTAGTTCATTTTGTTTTGTCTTTGTTCTAGCCCACCTGCGAGTGGTGCTCCCAATTTCCGGTCGTTGGTTTGTGTGTTTAACAGTTTGTGTTGTACTTTGATTTCGGCCTTTATTTAATGAGTATTCTATCGTTTGAGAGAAAGAAAAAAAAACTTGAGATTATACATGTTGAGTTCGAGCTCATTGTTTGTTTATTAAACGAGGTAAGTCGAGTCAGTTAATTTATTCAAACATAAGAGCATCTACAATGCTTTGGGTCTAAGTGTGCCCATGTGGCATGTAAATAGACTCAAGTATTTGATAATATGGACAAAAATATATAAAAGTAACAAATTTGACTCCAATGCAAAGTGACTACGTCTCCACTTGATTCTTAAATAGACTTAAGGCTAGACCGGATCTCATTTTATTGCTTCCACATAAGCAGGACCCGATCTACTTGCCCTTGCATTGGAGGATATATTGTCCTAGGTTGGGTCTATTTCTTATGTGGAATGTATATTTTTTTGAAGGAAAATTTTTATTTATGCTATGTGATTTTAAATTAATTGCAGTTTTATCATCCAAATTGAAATAATTATGTCTCTACCTAAAAGACCTTATTTATCTATATTAATGCTTAAAGTCAGTTACCATATTCTTCCCACCTCCATCCCTAACTGACTCATTCCTTAATTCGCTCAACTTAAATTCCTTAATTCACGCAGCTGTCAGGTGGTATATATTGCGTTTATGTTAGTATATATTCAGTATATGTTGCAATGAAAAACATGTCTTTCATCAAAAAATTATGTCTTTCTTTTTTTTTAAAAATTTTATACATAAATAAAAGTATATATATAATTTATAAACATAGTATAATAGGTTATTTAATATAAACCATACATATACACAACAACAACAACAACAACAACAACAACAACAACAACAATCAGCTTATGCTGAATATAAACTTATTTTATACATAAAAATTATGTTTCGCGATAAACTTTTTTATCATATACTGAAAATATACTGAATATAGACCATACATATACACACAAAAATAAAATCAGTTTATGTTTTGTCAGATTCGTTTTCAACAAAAAAATCTTCTAATATACCAAACATAAACTACAAATAAAACATTGAAAACAGAAAAAACAAACATATATTGAACATATACTCTCTGTACACACCACATATACTACATATACTCCAATCCAAAAGTCTGCGAATTTCAATCTACACCGTCCAATACCCTAAAAAATCGAACCCAAAATCCAATCTTTAACCCCTGTCTTCCACCCTCCGACCGAAACCCCGAACAGGATTAAACCCGAACCCCCAATCACATCATCAACGTCTAACACTAACTCCTTATGGACCTTACGGACCTTACCTAGAACAAACCACGAGCCAACCAACCCACAAATTACCAAGATGCCCACCATCCCCAATTTCGCCTTCCCCCTCCTTCTCCACCCATCGGACCAGCCTCGCCCGAACCCGTTCCAGAACCCATTCCCACCTCCATGGCCACCGCCGCTACCGTCGCCGCCAACGCATTGCCTCAGCAACAACCCTAATGGCTCGAGTAAAAACCCTAGCTTCGATGCCATGACATAGGCTGATTCGAGCACCAATTTGTTGGATTTTCTGATCCAAATTGCTTCCTCCTGTTAGCGGCGCAGAGAATTGATATCCGGTGAGAATTCCGGCGAGGTACGGGGGCGAAATAACCGGCGCGGAGTGAAGTGATAGAGGTATTTTTGATCTAGAA